CAGATAAGGTGGAGATGCACTAGGGGAAATAGGAATGGGGGGAGAAAAGTCAATCAGATACTCTAGTGCATCCTGTGGGATGGGGGATACTGTGGATGTGACAGTCCCCTTCGATGAACCTGTGAGAGGAACAGGTTGAGTCACAAGATTTTCTGTCTTGTCGGCACCTTGTTTACTTAAGCAAGATTTTAAATATTTTTTCAGCCAGGATGGTTTTTCTGTAACCAGTTCAATCCAAACCTGTATATATAGAATTTGATCTGGGTGGCCTGGTTGGCCAAAACAAACCTCCTGTACGCGGTAGGTGGTAGGGAGGTCTGTAGTTCCATATGAAGGCCACCCAACTCCAAATATTGGCCAGTCTAACTCACATAATTTCCTTAGGTCAAATGGGTTGACTGAAGTTCCAAAATCAGTGCCCTTCATTTGGAAGTACTTAAAATTGTTAATCATACACTGTGCGGGGGGTGCCCCACACACCTGTTTGGAGGACTTTTGTCCCATTATGTCATATAGGACAACAGTTAATGACACACAACAACACACAACCAGCAACACACAAAAGACAAAGACAAGTTCCAAAATTCCAAAACAAAGACAAGTTCCAAAATTCCAAAACAAAGACAAGTTCCAAAATTCCAAAACACATCCAAATTCCAAAACAAAGGACCTGGTGATGTCTCATGGGAGTCCTAGACCTGGGAAGTAATGCTGTGTCCAGTCTTCTGCTTGGGCCTGAAATCAGAGCTCTGATACCCAAATGCAACACCAAGTTTTTGAGATATCAAACCAACGCTTACCTCCAGAGGTCCAAGACACAGACTAATAGGACTAATAAAGACTCTGGTGCCAACTGAAGAATTTGGTTGCATTGGGCTCTTGGATGGAGACAAAGGACAAAGGGGCAAATTTCCACCTTGGTGGCCTCCCCTAGGATCCAGGGCAAAAGCAACACTGGGGCTGATTTCCCTCTTGGTGGCCTCCCCTAGGGAGACTCGCCACATTGCCCCACGTCTGAAGCTGTGATTTTTTGGTTCCCCTGAGTGACAATATCGTGCAGGGCCCTCCAAATGTTGTGAGGTTGCCACCCAGGAAAGGAACCAAACACTTAATTAAGAATTTTAACAGAGTCTTTATTAGCTGGCCAGTGATTGCCTCCCATAGGTATTTTGGGAGAACATCAGCTAGCCTTGGTCTGCTGGAGTTTACAAAGGCAAAAACCACATCCCGTTGGCACATGGGCCTGTCCAGGTGCACAAAGCAAGCTAGGTCACAGAAGCCAAAAGTGAGCAGTTAAAGCAATCAGGCATTAAATTTTCCTTGTGTATGGTTTCTGTTTCTATGCAATGGTTTCTGTTCTCAATGGTTTCTCATGCGGGCGGCGGGGGGGTTAGTCTGTTATAGTTCCCATTTCTATGAGAAGGTCACTGATTTCTCACGTGGAGGGGGTTTTGCCTGTGTCTACCTTAGTATTGTTCAGTGTTCTCTTTTACAATGATCTAACAAGCTCATGGAAAGATGCTTAACATCATTAATCATTATAGAAATGCAAAGCCACAATGAAATATCATTTCACAATCAATAGAATATTAACGCTGATTAACAAAATTGGAAACTTTGTATACTTTGTGTTCATATGCAAAATGATACAGCCCCTATTTTTAAAAAAGTACAGTGACTTCTCTAAAAATTAAAAATAGAATTACCATAGGATGGGCCGAGCCCGGTTTCTCATGCGGGCGGCGGGGGGGTTAGTCTGTTATAGTTCCCATTTCTATGAGAAGGTCATTGATTTCTCACGTGGAGGGGGTTTTGCCTGTGTCTACCTTAGTATTGTTCAGTGTTCTCTGTTACAATGATCTAACAAGCTCATGGAAAGATGCTTAGCATCATTAATCATTATAGAAATGCAAAGCCACAATGAAATATCATTTCACAATCAATAGAATATTAACACTGATTAACAAAATTGGAAACTTTGTATACTTTGTGTTCGTATGCAAAATGATACAGCCCCTATTTTTAAAAAAGTACAGTGACTTCTCTAAAAATTAAAAATAGAATTACCATAGGATGGGCCGAGCCCATGGTGCACTCAGGAGAGTGTGGTACTGGGAGCGCAGCAGCACTCCCGCCGCAGGTTCGAATNCCCTGTGTTGTTGGTCCCCGGTGGCGAGGAACCAACACAAAACATTGTGACATGTAACAAGAAGATGTTCTTATTTTAAGCCACAAAGTTTTGTGATACTTTGTTGTAGAATAGATCACTGGAACACCAAAGAAATTGTTCGAGTTCTTAGGTAGTGCTTTGATTTGAAACATGAAGAGTGTAGGTTCACACTGAATATTAGATTCAAAACAAAGAAAGAAAGCATTTCACGTCTTATGTTAGATCTCAAATTATAATTGTAAATGTTAACGTTCAGTTAACTGGTTTGTTGATTTTTGTTCTTAAATGTTAGCTACAGTTCTACCTTAAAAACATGCTGATGACTAATGCACACATCCATTGTTCTCATTCATTTTTAAGTAATTACCTGAAATAGGAGAAGAATAAAATACAATCTGTAAGAAACTTTAAAAACATGATGGGTTTTATTAAACTACAAACTGATAACCATATGTTTATAAGAACTACAAATAGAATCACTGATGTAAATTTATAGAAGTAAAAATCAGATGTTATGAAAATTTGTACTTTGTTTTTGTTATTTCCATGTCTCTTGACTTACTGTTGTTCAAACCTGTCCCAGTAACTCCCGAAGGCTTTCTCCCCAAAGACTCCTAATCATGTCACCACAGGTGCTGGCTAGAAGCATAGGTCACCAGGAATTGAACCTGATAGCCCAGCAAACATTACCTTCAGGTTTTTACAAGAATGATATTTCCAATGGAACAAAGTTATTGTCCTTATGAGTACCAACATTTCCCCCTATAGCAGCAGTGTATATAGAAATTAGAATTAAATAAAAAGATGAAACAGACAAAAGTAGCAGGAAGTAACACAAGATAAAATTAGATCAAAGAAACACGGAGGAGTCCAGGAAAAATCTCATTTTGGTGGCCTTGTCAGTGGCTGTGTGGTAGTGATAACACATATAAGAAAAGAGGGGGAAGTTGTTTTCATTTTAGATTTGTTGACCTTGAGGTGAGACTTTTTTTTCTGGCAGCTGACTGGTACAGAGATCTGAGCCCTTGACCTTGGTGTTAAAACACCATGATCTAAACAAATGAGCTAACAAGCCAGCCCCTTCAAGTGTCTCTTGAATAGCTCCAAACAAGCATTCAACAGAGTTCAACTTATGATCAAAAGACTAGGGAAGAAGTACAACCTGGAGAGAAAAAAGAGTGCAAACTACAAGGACTGAATCAATGAAAAAGAATTTCACATGAGAAAAACAGGGCCTAAGATGAAGCACTTTTTTTTTTTTTTT